GTCTTAATCGCTCCCCACTGCTCCCATTGGTCCGTTCTCCCTACTCCCCTGCCTACTTCGTATATAAGCAGCGCCTTTCACATCCTATCACTACAGCTACTGCTCTCCGCATTCCAAGCTATTCAACTGCTCTGAAGACGGAGGCGCTACGTTCCTCCGAAACGTCGGCTAAAACGAAGAATACACGGTGCCTAAACCCAGAAGACGACTTTCTTCATTGTCATCGCCGTGAAAACCTCAAAACGTACATCGGAGAATTAGTTAAGATTTAATTGAATGATTTCATTTCGGTCCACAAATTAACAATGGTCATCGTCCGGACCATATTCAATCAAATCTGATATCAAGGGAACAAATGCTTTTCTCTTGTTTCTTTTTCAGGTTCAATTCTATAAAAGATTAATATGGTATAATTAGTATGTTAATGCACTTCAATTTTTCATGGAAGTTGATGACACAGCTAAACAATAATTTTTCCCAATTTCAGTTCCTTTTATTCATGGGGAAAACTTTTTATTTTTAAGCAGCATAAATATATTTTCTCTAAGCTTTCGAATATCTCACTTTATTTGTAATTAATATATTGAATAAGATGTGCATGCCCTAATGACGTAGCTTGAAAAATAGTTATCTTATTTTGTAAACAAACGAAGTGTACAGTGCTTGAGATAATGCATCCTGCTATCTTTCTGTTAGCCAGTAGTTACCTTTCACTCCAAGTAATCGCTTTAAGCAGGAGGTTTACTTTGCAGAAACTTGATCTGCATATAGAACATATATACTGAAATTTATGATAGAATTTAGTGTTGGTTCTTAGTGTTCTATTGGAATTGGATAGTGTTTTATTTGTGTATTATAAGTGGATGAGAAGATGCAAATTTTTATAAACAGGAATTCGATATTTTCGTAACTTGTACTCTTCTCCAAGTAAAATAAGAATGATCAAGTCAAGGAGGATGAGACAGGCAGGGCATGTAGCACGAATATGGGGAAGCTAATGCAGAAGTAAATAGACCACTAAGAAGACCAAGACGTATGTGGATGGACAATATTACAAAAATTCTTAGAGAGATAGGATGAGATGATATTGATTGGCTTGCTCTGGCTCAGGATAGGGACCGGTGGAGGGCTCTTGTGAACACGACAATCAACCTTCGGATTCCGTAAAATGCTGGGAAGTTCTTGAGTACCTGCGAAATTGGCAACTTCTCAAGGAGTGCTCAGCTCCACGAGTGAGGGATTTCGCTATTAAATAACAGTGACCTATATATTTTATTTATGTTCAATAATATTTTTCGATTGAAAAAAATTCTAGAATAATTGGAAATGGAGTGGTATAAACTAATGGTATAACCAAAATATTACTTAGTAATTATTCATTTCGAATTTTGAACAATGAAGTAAATTGCGGATGACTGCTGACACAAATGTTTCGATAGGACATATGATACGAGTATAGGAGAAAAATGTGACATCGATATGGATTCATTGTATCGATAAATTACATATTTTTCTACCTTTAAATTACTCATATTTGTTCAAGAGGACTAAAACTAAAAAATCGTCCTGTGCAAAAAATACTTAACGTGTACTGCTAGGCAACCGAGTGAAAACCCCTCGCTTGAGTTCACGCAACAAAAGGGCGAATGTTTACAACTAGTTGCTAGGCAACAATCAGCGAGCCAATTGTCTGGTGAGATAGTTGTCACGTGATTTGTTTTCTGTGTGGTCTGCCCTACGCAACATAGAACTGTGTTTTCTGTGCGTGGTCCGTGCCGAGAAGATGTAAGAGAATACGGGAATGGGAATTGAATTCACTTGAGTTCCGAGGTTCCTAGGGAACAGCAGTGTGGCCAGAAGGAGAATTAGAAGACTTAGTGTGTGACGTTACATGTGCTGTAGTTACATTTATCTAGAGATTGCAAGTACTAAATTTAGTTATTACTAATGAAGATCCAATAAACAAATTCACCAATCCAAATTCGCTTCTTAGTTACTGTGACACGTGACAATATAGTGCATATTTCGAATTGGTTATTAGGAAGGAAGGCGACTATAAATAAGCTTGATTACGGAGTAATGCAAGTAAACCAATTTACAGGATTCATAATTTCATTCTGTCAAAATTACACCCGCCTCTGTTGTCTAGTGGTCAGAGATCCTGGCTACAGATCCACAGGTCCCGGGTTCGATTCCCCGAGCTATCAGATTTTATGAGAAGTAGTGGGTCTGGAATTGGTTAGATACTTCAGCAGATTGTAAGAATATAGAGCTATTTTGATACAAAATTGCTTCTCGATTTACATCCTTAAGTTAATTAAGATAAATATCGCCTCCATCTTCAGGGTATAAGAAATCCGCGAGCGATGACCAGCGTGAGCAGGTCTGCAGGCGATAAGTTCCTCCGAAACGTCGGTTAACAAACTATCTACACGTCGCAACATCCCTGAAGAAGTCATTCTTCATAGTCACTGCCGTGAAAACCTCAAATCTTACATTTGTAATGACGCTTCACGTCAACTTTGATATTGAATTGCAAGAAGGACGACATAAAGCACGGGAACAGAGGAATGGAATGTCTTACATTTTTTTAACAAACAGAATTGAATATGGAGAAAGTCGTCTTCTGGGTTTTGGCTCCGTNTCTCAAAACTTACACAGAATTGAATATGTTATCTAAAATCCACTTTTATCGAAGTGAATGAAAACTCTCTTGTTGCATATCTATAAAGATCACCAGTCAGTTTATAATATCATCCAGTGCACTGTACACTAAATGTGAAACATGAATGTGGATAATGCCGTAGGGACAATACATTTTTCTTATAAATTAAATGAGAGCGCTAACCACCATAATAAGTCCTTGTAATATGCGAGGAAGGGACTGCTGCTGTGATGGCTTCTGTGAACTGGGTGTGCGCGCTGGGTGTTAGGGGTGGCGGGAGTATGAACTGGCTGGGTTGCTCAGGGTCCTTCGGAGAGCCTCGATACCTCTGTACGTTCACGTCGGGTCTGGGAGACGAATAATGTTCATGAATATTTTGTTGATCTGGAGAAGAGGTTATGAAATCATCTGTCACTGAACTCTTGTGAGATGATCGATAGTTTGTTCGTTGACCCGGTACCAGAGCTGAAACACCAGACATTCAGAGATAAGTTAAGACACATAAATGACGTCACAAGCTCCATGGTAGAATTTTAACTGCGCAGTTTGCACTTCTTCAGCTAATCAATGGACCATGTCATGTAACTCGATTGTGTTAACAAATATTAAAATTGGTCCGTGTTCTGAGCCAGATTAATCCCGTCAAAGTCCTCATATTATTTAAATCCTTTTAATATTATCCTTACATCTATGTCTATACCTCCATTTTTCCTCTTCTCTTCAGGTTTTAGGGTCATGATTCTGCATGAATTTGGCCGTTTTCACGTGCAAGCTACACCCTCCTTCAATTTCACCCTTCCTGATTTGAGAGTGCAGGTCATGCAGCTGCACACTGTTCAATTTTTTAGTCCCCTGTTACGTCCTCATCTTAGGTCCAAGTATTCTCCTCAGCACATTTCTCAAAAACATCTTCAACGATTCACCACGGGATGAGGAAACAGAGTTTATGCTTGTCCATAAACAGCAGGTAAAATTATGGCTTTGTATATTAAATTTATGCCGGTCACGGTAGCCGAGCGGTCTAAGGCATGTACTGTCTTCGCTCGCTTGGAAACCAGGATCGTGGGTTCGAATCCCACTCAGGGCATGGATATTTAGTTTGTGTGTGTGCGGTTTTCTGTGTTTGTGTACAGGTAGAGGCCTTGCGACGAGCTGATCACGGGCCCAAGGAGTCCTACCGAGTGTGTAAGTTCTAGAAAAACCGAAGTGAACGGAGAAGTTCATGGAGGTAGGCCTAGGCCCACTGGAGCTGTAGTGCCAAAGGGGGAAAAAATATTAAATTTATGAGTAATGATGTTAATTTTTGTCGTGAGTAGAAATTGGTATGTGCTACGGTCCAGATGTTCAGTTTGCTAATTGATTCAGACAATTTTATAAGTTATATAATATTATTCTTTCTTTCCATTAGGCAGAAGAGTTGCGGGCTCTTGTGAATACGGTAGTGAACTTTAGGATTCTATATAGGGAGGAGAATTTTTTGAGTATCCGAGGGACACTTAGCTTCCAAAGAAAGACCCTGTTTTACGGAGGTAATTAATTAGTCAGTTACGCAAAACCGCCTCTGTGGTCTAATGGTCAGAGTTCATGGCTGCAGATCCAGATGTCCCTGGTTAGACTCCCGGCGCTAGCAGATTTTCTGAGAAATAGTGGGTCTGGAACGGGGTCCACTCAGCCTCATGAGGATTTCGCATAGTGGGGGGTGGAGTCCAACTGGGTCCACTCGGCACGGCGGCCACTGATTGGCTTATTGTACCTGCCCCCTAGTGATTATGATGATGGAGAATTTGGTGGAATGAAGATTGGCAGGGGAAACCGAAGTGATCGGAGAAAACCTACCCCAGCGCCACTTTGTCCATCAGAAATCCCACTTAACCAGACCCGGGTTTGAAACCGGGCCGCAGAGGTGGGAAGCTAGCGACTATTTCAAGGAAATAGCGGCTCTAGTTTAGAAAACCGAAATTAACGGCCGGGGGGGGGGATTCGTTGAGCTGGCCACGCGACACCTTCTATCCGCTAAATTTGACACTAACTTCGCCGACAAGCGGCAGTAGCTCGGTTGGTATAATTCTCTTGCGGACTAGAGGACACGGAGTTTGTTATTTTGTTTGTCAGTTACGTAACATGTGCATTTATCTCGACGGTGCAATCTTCCACGTCGTATCTTAATTTGCACTAGTGGAAATTATGCACACATTCAGATAACAGGAAGTGTCGGGATAGCGCAGTCCGTAAAGCGATTAGCTACGGACTGGAAAGCCAAGGGGTTGGAGTTTGAGTCCCGATGGGGACAAAAATTTTCAATTCTCCATGTCGTCCAGACCGGCATTGAGGTCCACCCAGCCTCCTACCCAATGGACATCGGAGGCTCTTTCTCCGGCGGTAAAGCGGCCCGGGGCGTGAAGCTGACCACTCGTCTCTAACTAGTGCTGAGGTCAAGAAAATTTTGGTCTTTACATCTGCTCCCCCATACGTCCTCATGACGTAGAGCGTAATTAATTAAGCACAGGGACAACAAAGGGATAACAAAGGCATTACTTAGTAGTTTCCTTTGGTCTAACGGCTTAGATTAAAGCATTTGAAAAACTAAAGGGTTCTGACGATGGCGCATAATACCCAAAATTACTGGGATTTTGGACTTTGTCCATAGTCCAGTATTCTAGAGACTAGAAAACACAACGCTTCGGAAACTGGATTTGTTTTCGTCCCAAGATGACCTGGGCTAACAAGACCCAGTGATTGAAATGAACTCTTTCTAAGGGGCCCGACTGAGTACGTATCTTCCCCCTCTCACCTGAGGACGGAAACAGATCCAGTTTCCGAAACGTTGTGTTTTCTAGCTTCTAGAATGGACAAAATCCAAGAATCCCTAATTATGAATATTAAGACCTTCATAAATTTTAGTCAGAACTTCTTTATATCTGTAAGACAAGCTTTAAGCTTTAAGTGTACAAAGTGTCAGAATTTCCACAGTCGGGATTATTCTGATGCACAAGAAACCCAAAGGGGTTGCAATATATGAGGTGCGCTTACACAGGTAGTAGTTCGGGCTGATAGAATGGAAGTTGACTGGAAGGTCTTTTTGTAGCAACCGAGCTGACCTCTGGTTGTTGAACTCTGAACTCTCTGTTGGTATACGCTGATTTGTCAGAATGTTCACAGGAGGATCCGGGTGCTGCTTCAGCGACTTCTGGAGCTGGATGTAGCTTAGAAATCTGTTACCTTCAAACAGTCAATAAGAGTCCATCAGAATTGTCTAACGATTGCAGTTCTATTCAATTTCTGGAAATCCGTAAAAATAAGCTCTTATGTACACTGCACAAATTAAGGAGCTGTAACAAAGTGAAATAAATTTTAAATTCTGATGTTTTGGATCGATACTGTATAGTCTGGTAGAGTTACTGACGTTTCGATGAAATCAACTTCCTCTGTCTTCATTTTTACCCTGAAGATGCAGGCAGCTGGTTTAATCCCTTAAAACGAAATCTAGATCTTCACTTTTCAAATATATTACAAGTCAGTATATATATATATATATATATATCAAAATATAGTGACCCAATCGAGCGGGTTGGAATAGCGGTATCACCTAGAATTATATTGAGGACACATTTGATTCGCATCTCGACTGGAACCCTGGCTATATTGAACGATGATTTTCTTTGAATTCTTCTGTCCTTCCAGGCAAATGCCTCGCTTTCTTTCAGTGCCTTCCAGTTTATCATTTAGTCGTTCTACCATTCGATGCTTATGAAGCAAATGTTGACAGCTTCATGAAATAACCGACAAGAAAAACTGAAACATTTCTTTAATTAAAGTAACTTAGACTATCGACCAATGTAAATCGAAATCAAATTTCATCGGAATGTTTTAATTCACAACACAAATGTCCAATACGAATATTCATTCAACGGTTTCTAGGTTTTGGTATTACATTGAAGGCTTGGCCATTACGAATTCCCTCCAATGCGTTGTATAAAGTACACTGCGTACTGAACAAGTAAAAGAAAGCATAACTTACATTACATGAAGGTACTGAAGTGTAATATAACTAAAAAATAAAGTAATCTCCATCAGGACTGTACACTCCGCGGTTCCGAAAGATTATTCTTTATAGGTTGTAATTTGTATTTGTACATATCGGCATTGCTTAAATGATCATAAATCTGGAATTAATTATTTGGGAGATTTCGCCAATAAATTTTGAGCTTAAACCAGTACAAATGAGGATTCGATAGTTACACAATGGACATAATGCTGCAAAATGAGACACAAATAGTAAATGGTAAACGGTACTCTACGTCAAAACATTAAGACATGACTGATATAGAAACATCCCTACATGTTTCGGGTCCCTTGTGTCCATCTTCTGGGGATTTTGAATAAAAGTAATCAAATCGTTGTAGTGGAAATCCTTACGGCTCGATCGATAGGTTCAGCCTTGAGCGCCTTGAGCATGCAACACAAGTCAGTTACTCCCAGCGCTCCCAGCAGGCAGCATGTGGAACTCCTATCACGCAGAACGCATGGGTAACCCAAGAGGATAAAACGGGGTATGGATGGATACATTTGTTTATGCTAACAATAGAATAAGAATACAACTTTTCAACCTTACTAAACACGCATAAACACATAACCCGACAAGTGAAATAACCTCGCACTGGGGTTTAGGAGTGTCAGACGTACACTTATGTACACTCACATCGGCGACCAGCACTAACTTCTCTTTAGGAAATATTTTGTCTCAAAACAGGATGTTGCGGGGAAAATGAGATGTTTAATTTAGAATGTTATCAGATTTTGTGCTGTGAAGAAAATGAGGATCCTAAAATTCTTTAAACACGTCGGTTTTAAATATAAACCTTATTGGCAGATTTCAAAGTAACACACTTCAGTTTTCCAATTTCCATATGATATGGATTTTCTCTTGTTCCTACACTTTTCAATACACCCGATATTGTCGCCATTTAGATCAGTTTAACACTTTCCATTTTATGCTGTAATTTATTTCTGCGTGTGTTACATTCACAGGTTTTAAAATGATACAAATTAATTTATTGGCTTCAGTTTTCATTCGCGAGATTATTGTGCTCACAAGAGGGCTCAGGTCGCATCTACCGATGAACACTCTTGCAAAAAAGTAGTCAACCAGAAACACACACAAATGAACTTAAATAATAAGGCACTATCTGGATCTAAGGCACTAAGGGATCTGAGGTTCTCATGGCCGTGTCTGTGAAGAGTTCAGGGTTCTGGGCTGTTAACACCATTCCCTAAAGCTACACAACATTACAACCAAGTGGACCGTGCACTTAATAGAACACAACTTTATTTTCTAATTCTTGTAGACCGAAATATATTATGAGAATTATATAAATTTATCTTAAATATATCAATGTTGTATACAATGTATAATTTAATTATTTATTACTTTGCTGAAAATACCTGAAAATGGCGACAGATTTGGCGAAACCTGTAGGATAATAATTTACGAGTAATTAGTTGTAGTAAATATTTGTATTGTTATATAATTTTAATATTTAATATATAAATAGTTTTCTTAATATTCTGCTTTTTGCATGTGTGGTACAGTGGTAATGAGGTAAGCTCTTAACTCACTAATTATACATATACATATATACATTTGTCCTAGTATAATGCATCGAAATATATATCAACCACTTGTATTTATGAAAGATGTTGATATTTACGTACTTCCTATTTTATTAAAGCTGTTATGTAAACAAAAGTTATCTAAAATTTAATATAAATTTAGATTGTAATTTGTCTTACTTTGAAGGTTCTACTAAATTAAAATACATTTATATAAAGCAGTTCGGCCCCATTAACTCTAGAAGTCAAGACATAATGGTTTTACTTCATAGTCGCGGAATTCACAAACACTGACTGCCAGTAAATCCTTTTATTATTGAGCCAACCACCCACCCAATCAATCAATCAATCAATCAAACAATCAATCAATCAATCAAACAACCAGTATAGACATACACACTACTTAACAGATAACTTCCCACCCAGCAACTTGACATAATTAGTCCTGTAGCACTTCGCCTTGTAGTCGAGATGCATCCTATTTCAAACCCCACCAGAATATACTGAAAAGAAATCTTCTTGCAGATTTCAAAATTTCCTTGTGGCAAATGCTGAAAATTGTCCAAGACCTCTTTCTTTCATTCTCTTCCAAAATGTCGACATATTTACAACTGTCTTACCGAGTGTCATTCTGAACTACCCGACGGTAGTCGCTGATACAGCCTATGCAGTCAAAGTGCAGACTCCGAAACTAATTCCAACGATTCATTTTAGAAAATATATTCAGTACTTACACAAGTACTGCAATACCTCCATAATTAAAACTCTTATTAAAACAAACGTAATTTAGAACTGAATATACATTCAGAATATTTGTAATTTGTCCTAGCTTCGAAGTTCTGAAGTAAATCGGAATTCTTCCAGGTAAAAACGGTTCGGTTTCTTTAAGAATTGGTAAAGTGTCGTTGAAGAAACAAAGTAATATCAGAATAATTCTTTCGTCTAGGATATAATGCCACGCATTCCGTTGAAAGACAAAAAAGGTTTCGGAAGAACACGTCGCCTCCGTCTTCAAGGTCGAATGATAAGAGAAACAAGAAACCAGCCTAAAGCAGGCAAAATGTTATTCTTCGATCTTGAATTTGGAGGCGACATGGTTCTCCGAAACATCTGTTAACTATCTCAGAGGACAGAACCACTCATTACCACCGTTGCAAGAACCTCAAACCCCACAAAGTACCAAGTAACAGTTGAATATGTATGCGTTTTCTGTAGTCACTCCCTGGACACTTACTGGGGAACTGTGTGCGTATCACGGCATGAAACCCTTTAGGGCCGTCCACTTCGTAGTCCACAGTGCGCACTCTCCCGTCAGGTTCCAGCACACTGTAGGCTCCCTTAACGTACTCTCCATGCCTGTGTTCCCACCGGTCATTGATGACCCCAGAGATGGGGTCGTCGACAGCATATTTATACTGGTACTGCACCTGTAAACCACATGGTTTAGTTTCTTGGGGTGCAGTGAGACTGAGACCACTTGATACGTCGGCCACTGATTGGTCCATTGGAAAACCACATGGTTACGGAAGGTCTGACTTTTGGGATACAGAAGGATTTTTCTTTCTTTGGTCTCCTATGTACAGTGTAACGGATCTGCGGGTTCTTTAGAAAGCGAGAATTTTCTCGAGTATTTGAGCAGCCATTAACTTTTCAAGAAACACGCTGTTCCGTGGAGACACGGTGTTGTTTATTTTATATTATCTTCAGTTACAGCATTATGATTTTTCCCCAGTGTTTTCTCGCTCAGTGAAGGAATCGTCTTGTGAGATATGCCACAGAGTATGGATCTGCTAGCCTCCAACGAGTGGGTATTGATCAAGATCTTATAAATTAAAATGTTAAAGTTTCTTGATACAAGTGGAAACCTAAAGTTAATATTTTAGTCAATTACTTCCTGGTTCATGTGAACTATACAGGAGGTAAAAGAGTTTAATAATTTTCACGTTCTCCGGTCACTGGAAGTTTCCCAGGATTTTATAATTTTTTACTACTGAAAGCGGAAGAAAGAAACAAAAACAAAAGGCATAAAATAAATTTATGCCCTTGTAGAATCCTGTCTTCTGGGGCGTAACTCCGTGCAGTCCGTTATATCCCGGAAGGCAGGATTCTCCACAACTACGTCTGTAAGAACCTCAGATCCTACAAATGTTTATGACACATCTGTATTAGAATTTTAGTTTTTCAAGCTGCAGTAATTCATTGAACATGAACTTCAAGAGGCCGATATGATGACTTTTGTATGTGTATCAGACGGTGTATTGGGTAAGTATTTGATTAAATTAGTATATGAAATTCGGGGGAAAATTTGGGAAATATTTAAGCTTGGATCATATTCCTCATTAATGGCTGCCGCTTTATTTCAAGACCTGATCAAATTCTGAATAGGTTATTTCTTCTACAACGCTTATATATCGTATATACATATTATAGTAGGTAATGTAATGAGCTCATGTATGTGTTCAGGCACTTTGATATTTATAATCTGTAATATTCCGTTGCTATGGATTCGGTTCGAAGTCGGATTGAGTATGCATTTGATGGTCACGTGTCTTACGTTTTCGTAATGCTAACCTGTGTCGAGGAGATTTGAGTTATTCAACAGCTCGATTTTAATTGAAATTGAGAGAGCATATCAATTTTTAATTATAAAACAAGAAAGGAAGGGGCTACTTCGAAGATCAAGCCGTAGATAACGGGCAATTAAAACAAAAATCAAAGAATTCGAGTAGGTGGTAAAGAATTATTTACTTGGCTCAGGTTAGGCTTCACTGCCTGGCTTTTACGAACATGTTAATAAAATTATTCGGCTTCATAAGAGGCACAGAATTTCTTGATTAGCTGGACGATTACTACCAGACATTATGACTAACCGCTTGATGTTAGAAGCAAATGAAATTTAGAGTAAAGCCAGTGTGTTTCATAACCATTTCTATAATATTAACCTTTTGATTAATTTGGTTATTCGGTAATAGCCAAATTTTATTGCTTTTAGTGTTACATGGAGTTATTCTTGTTCCGAACATAATACGGAGGGTAATATCGTATATGTATGTATTTTCCAACATGAAAGATAAAGCTTTGTTTTACTCTTCAGTCAGTCGCTGTAGACTGTAAGTGGTTCCTGTAGGTGTTGAGTTAGCACGCAAAAATAAATAATTTCGTTATTATTAGTATTGTTATTATTATTTTAATTAAATGAATACTTGCAGAAAGCAGTCTTCTGGGATTTGGCACCGTGTATATGTGGTGTTAACCGACGTTTCTGAGGAACGTATCGCCTCCATCTTCAGGGCAGAAGGAAAAATATAAGAAATCCGCAAGCGAAGAGACCGTGAGATGGAGGCGATACGTTCCTCCGAAACGTCGGTTAACACCAATATACACGGTGCCAAATCCCAGAAGATTGCTTTCTTTATAGTCACCGCCGTGAAAGCCTCAAATCTTACAAATGAATGCTTCTCTTCAGGATCTACTCCATCTTGGGCAATTGCAGAGATGGAAATGCAGGTCAACGCAGTTACTGTGTTTAGACTCTGGAAGCGCAGGTCAAGGCAGTTACTGTGTTTAGACTCTGGAAGCGCATGTTCGCCGTCGAATTCTCTGCCTGTGGAAAGTGTCTCCAATGTTCAGTGGGCTGAGAGTCGGTTGGAGCCCAGACCATCTTGCGCGGCACTAAGGTAGGGCCTTGCTTTGACTTAAGCACTACTTCGTAAACGTACATGGGGACTGAGACAATTCACACACTCCATTCCCGGTCTCAATTTCGGGTCTTCTATGCTTAGCCAATTTACAATATGACTAAAACTATGGGCACGTTTCTCACAAAATCACCCGAGTAATGAGCAAGAGAGAGTAATTCTTTACGGTTGTAAGTAGAACAGAAATATCACATTATAATTAGACTTCAGTATGACCAAGAGTATTCTAATATTCCAGTTATTTCAGCAGAACAGCTTGCCATGTGACTATGTATTCTTATTATTCCATCTCTTCAAACCACATTTGCATTATGCAAAGTTTTTATAAAGCCATTCTGGAAATTTCTTTCCTTCCACTGTTATATCAGCTCATTTATTCTATTTTATTCTTCCTCCTTCTTCTTTGTTCTCTTGGCGCTGACCAACTCAACGCCTGCTTTGACCACATGCGGATCTCCTCCATCCTATCAATATGTCTGTCAATTTTAGGTGTATTTCACAAATTCTCGAACAATATTTATGTCCTCTGGTCGTGTTTATCCTCCTATCAACATGGAAAAGTACCGTACCTACCGCGCAGACCCAAATAAAATTGTTTCGTGGAATATAATAAATTTAGTCTTGAAATTTCGGTTTTCAGGCAGATCCAATATAAGAGCATAAGAGGACTTCTACGAGTATGTTCTGAACCATCTGACATGACACCAATGTTACTTTGTGATACTTCTATTAAATTTGATCAATTTCAAGGACTCCTTGACTTAAGGGTGATGTTCCANGGTGTTGTTCCAAGAGTTACATTCATTGAGACTGCGGTATCTGGAATGTGACACCGTGTAGTCCGGCTGATGTTTACCTGTGTTGCTTTTATTCTTTTATTTATTCTTAGAATTATGACAACGTGCAAATATTGTAGTGCACAAATTTAATTCCCTTTAGTTCTTCATATGGACCCTACAAACAGGACCTAAACACTCCAGGGGGGGGGTTGTTATGTAGTAACCTGAAAGAGAACATTTTTAAGTAGTGATTAAGGATATATGAGACACATGTGTAAAGTATTGTCACGTGTATGAGTGACTATAGACGGGGTTTGGATTGGCGATTGAATTTATTTATCAATTAAAAATCGTAAGTACAAGCAACTATAGCTCTACCGCTATTTCACACACACTGCAATTCACTGCAGCACACATTAGTCTTATCCAGCCTGCTATGTCCTCAACAGTTGTTTCCTGGTAACGGCTTCCAGCGGCGGACTTTTCCCTTCTTCTGGGTTCCCGAGCTGTCCCCATGGCCATAGCTACCAGACTCTAACAGCAACAGCTCACAAGGACTGAGCCGCAGCAGTCCTCTAACTCACACACTCACTCACTCACTCACTCACTCACTCACTCACTCACTCACTCACTCACTCACTCACTCACTCTCTCACCCATCAACCAAGTTGCTCCACTTCACCCAAGTGCAGCTCCCAACTTAGAACATGTCGACACGAACCGCACAGAAAACACAGTTTCTCATTATTGGAGTTCAACTGTTTCCGTGGGAACATGTTTATTTACAAAGCCGCTAGCCATTAACGACTGTCGTATATTTGCTTATTCCGTGATCGTTGCCTAGCAGCGAGTGTAGTTTCACAGAAGTCGCTAGTTCCTATAAATTCACTGGTACAAAAAATAGTATTTTGCCCAATCGAAAGCGTTGTCGAACCTACTAGTAACAACCTGTCCCTTGATTTTCAGAGTGTTTCCTTGAATATAGAAGACAAAAATCATACGGAAATGAAGTGCACCCTTTTAATGCAACCCAGGAATTCAATTGCCTATTGTTATTCTCAATATTTGTCGTTGTATTATCTGCTGTGTACAACAGGCTCTTGGCTCAGACTTCTCCAATTTGTGCAGAATACAAATTTTCCTCTTCCTCCTCCATTATGTGTTTTATTGAAACAAAATCTGTAATATCACGTTGGATATTTTGATGAAATTTGTGTTAAGAATAGATTTGTTAAGCAATTAAATTAAAAATTAATAAAATAAGCGAAAACATTTTATGTAACATGTAGGATTTGGAAAATGACAAACTCAAGGAGGATGAGATGGACAGAGAATATAGCATGCAGAAGACCAAATTGTGGGTAGGAGAATAATATTAGGATGCAGCTTAGGGAAATAGGTTGGAGTTGTATGGACTGGATTTGTCTGGATTGTAATATGAAGCAATGAAGGGCTCTTGTGGACACGGTAATTAACTTTCGGATTCCATAAACGTTTGGAAATTTTTTGAGCAATTGAGCGATTGGCGGCTTCTGTAATACTCAGCTCCATGATTTAGTGTGATCTGAGGTTCTCACAGAGTTGGTTAATAAGGGTTCTGTTTTCTGGGATATCACGCCGTGTAGTCAGTTAAAGACCAAAAAATGAACTGGGGAAATAATTCGTCTCCATCTTAAGGGTCGAAAAGAAGGCAGGTAAGAAACCAGCATAAAGGAGAGAGCAGATCGTTCTTCGACCATGAAAATGGAGGGGACATATTTTCGGATATGCCATTCATTTTCATTTGAGTACATGGATATTTATCCCAGGAGATAGGCCTCTTAAATTTAGGTAACACTTCAGAAAAGTGTGGAACTACAAATGATTCTATATTCTAGATCACCAGTGGTTTTAATGGTAGTGATGTGTTGAATCTGTGAACAAATTTCTTCAGTTACTTTCATCCGTGTCGTATAACTGAAATGACGCAACAGTGACACGCAGCAATTTAACTTACAAGACTGAGGCCAGCTGTCCGGGTTAAGCAGTCTCGAAATACACGCCAAGTTATCTTGATTTTGCTTGTTGAATATTAACGCGCCTGAAGTTCCTACGTTGACATTTTAATTTATTGTCTTATAAAAGAAACTTGAAGTGTAAACATAGTGCTAATGAGACAAGCACTAGATGCATGAAATTTGGCGACAAGACGGCAGCTACATTTTCTAGTGCAATCAAGGCTCCACAGGGGTCTCAGTGAAGCAACTGCCTAAATGTTGTCATACACACAAGAAAAAATAATTCTATATTTGGCTTGGTCTTATGTACATTCTGGTTCATATTTAAGGCCCTGGGTTTCTTTTCGTCATATTAGGTCTATTTAAGCAGTACGTACACTATTTTCTTTTCATCTGACTCAGGACGTTCCACTGGCTACAGCTACCTTCAGATTCTATAAAAGGTGGACAATTTGTTCATTATTTGAGCGACCATCAGCTTCTCAAGGACGGCTCCGTGCGGTTTATTGCTTAGTTTACACTTGCATTTCAGGTGAAGCAATAATTAATGACAGTCAAAGGTAGAATTTAATATTCAAATCTTCGAGATTTTTGTTAGGAAAAAATAGCATAGTCGGTATAGCGACTGGCTACGTGCTGGTCGACGGAGGGGTCACAGTTCGAGACCCGGTACGGTCAAGATTTTTCTCTTCTCCACGTCTTCCAGACCGGCTTTGCCGCCCACCAAACCTCCTATCAAATGGGTACCAGATGCTTTTTCTACGAGGGTAAAGAGGCAGGTGCGTGAAGCTGACCACTCCCCCTAAGCCTTCATGAGGTAGTGCTTAATTAGTTAAGCACAGGGATAATTTTACCTTTAATTTACTATATAAATTCTCCTTATTTTGACATAATAATTCATTATATTGCCTTTAGAAATCGCAAATTTGCTTGCACCGAATTCTGTAGAAATCTGGTCATGCAAATATTTTCTTTCTTCATATGCCCTTGTTGAACAACATTGGCGTAAACAAGGTCATAATGACAAGAGTTGTGTCCTTGTGGTCACTCAGTGTGATGTACAGGTAGTGTCACTGTCTGAAGGTATGAACTTCTTTCTTTCAGTTACTTCATATAATCCGTAGGAAGTGACGGTGTAGATTCTGTCACATTTTATTTTAATGTTACTTTCCTTTTAAGTCTGGCTTTGTATCTACTATTTAGATCCACTGACTGTAATGTGTGATCAATATAGTTCAATCGCTTTTGAGGTTTTTAATTAAAATACCAATCAGAAAAGTTTTCTGTTTTGGGGGAGATGAATTCTTGATGTTTGGGAAACACTGTTCCACTTCCTCGTTTGAGGACACAAATTGGAAAATACAACAGACTGGACTTAAGGAAGTCTGAATTTTAATAGTGTCAGTAAAGGAGCTTGCCGATCACGTCGCCGCGCGGTCTAAGCCAAGAACAGTCTTCGCCCGCTCAAACACTGGGGCCGTGGTTTCAAATCCCACCCGAGGTATGGATGTCTGTGTGCGTTTTTTCTGTGTTAGTGTTGTTCTGTATGTAGGTAGTATCCTTGCGAAGAGCTTATCCCCTGTCCAAAAAGTCCTACCGACTCTGAGTAGGGTTAAGTACTGTAAAGTGACAAAGGCCCAACAAAGGGATATAGAGCCATAGATAGATAATAAAGTGAAGTGTTTATCTTGGGATATTCTTAATTAGAGAGACAGCAGTAGCGGGAGAGCGAAGCCGATTATATGCCTGAGAATATTTTGATTTTTACTTAATAGCTTGACTTTAAATTTTATACAAATTGGCGTACATACTTACGGAATCGTAAAAATTTACAGGAAATGGATTAGTTATTCGTGAGATACTTCCAAAGTAATTCTATTTTTATTTACATGTGATTTTGTTTTTTCCTGAAATTACATTTGATTATCATTATTTTGTGCTACATGTCTTCTTGAATGATGAGTTCATGTTTCTCATGGACATTATTTCATTATGATTCAGATCACTTGTTTCAGCTGTTGAATCTACTTGTTCTTGATAAAGGTCAAATTTTATTGTGTATTGTTCTTGCGAACGGTACAGATTGAGAGAAATCTTTTCCTCATTCACCTCATTGTAGTTGTCAAGTGTCTCCACATCAGGTTCTTGGCTGTAACTAGACTGAGACTTGGGGTCAGCACAAGTTGTAGCCGCAAGAAACAGGACAGCCACCCCAAACACCTGCAATGGAAATATTCCGTATCAGTTTCTACCCCCGCAATAGGGATATTGTTTCAGAGATATAAGGTATCAAGCAGGAAGATTTTGTAGAAGAACAGCATTTGCGTCCGGGAGACAACAGGTTCAAATCTCTGCAATGCCCAATATCGATATCAAAAGTTTTTCGTGATTTTGCTCAGGATTTTCAAGAGAATGATGCTACGATGCCTTCAAGTAAAAATTCCATAATAATTTATCTTATTTTCTCTCCATTAACCATTGTTTCACGGGATGACTTCGTGACGTGCTCAAGAGATGTGACCTAACTGGCTTATTAACTCCACTGTATTGGGTTCTTCTTGACAAACCGCCAGCCGTTCAGTTACTGCAGAAATTATCAACATTTTATGGGACCCGAAAGTTCATTGCCATGTTCACAAGATTCCGTAACTCGTCCTTATCCTGAGCCAGAAGAAAACATTAAAAGAGCTAGTGGAAAATTCAGTTACGTTACACCAGTTGTTGCCGCTTCTGTGGTCCGGTGGTCAGTGTTCCTGGCTACAGATCCAGATGTCCGGGTTCAGTTCACGGCGCTACCAGGTTTTCTGAGAAGTAGTGGATCTGGAACGGAGCCCACTCAGCTTCGTGATGATAATTGAGAAGCTTTTTCAAGTAAACGGCGGTTCCGGTCTAGAAAACCGAGATTAATGGCCGTGGAGATCAGTTGCGCTGACCACGCGACACCCTCTATCCGCTAAAGTTGGCACTAACTTCTCTGACAAGCAGCGGTCGCTCGGTCGGTACAATTCGCCTGCGGGCTAAAATCACGGAATTTACGTTAGTTGTAATTTTAAAAAGTTTCGTTTTGTTATAAATTCCACAAATGTATACCGTGTTGTATAATTAACTATGTGGATAACAGTTCCGCTTCATAAGCTGATGCTCACCCTGCTACCCAAATTTTGCGCCATTTACTACACTCCCAAGCGCTTGCCACTGGACGCTATAATGAGACACATGAATGCAGTCTACAATGAATACCTATATTTTTAACTTAATTTCCTAAAGTCGGCGTATGTGATCTGCATCCTGTCTGTGTGTCTACTCGTATGTACCCCTCCCCCCTAATTAGTAATTCTAGAATTCCAGAGCCAATCCGTATGAAACTTCTTATATATACCGTGGCAACTGGACCGATCTCAACGGCGTACTTCATAAATCCCTCCCATCAGTCTTTGTGTCTTTATCCTCCTATCGCTGCGAGGCGTGTTAAGTGTATCCCCCCTTCCNATGAGACACATGAATGCAGTCTACAATGAATACCTATATTTTTAACTTAATTTCCTAAAGTCGGCGTATGTGATCTGCATCCTGTCTGTGTGTCTACTCGTATGTACCCCTCCCCCCTAATTAGTAATTCTAGAATTCCAGAGCCAATCCGTATGAAACTTCTTATATATACCGTGGCAACTGGAGGCGTTGTTTCCTATTCGGCCTGTAGCGTATCGGAAGAAATTAGGCTGTTACTTATTTCCGGAACTTGTACTGGCATTCATTTCCACATTATCCTCCTACCTACGCCAAGATGTTCCTAGTGATCTCTCGTTTTCAGGTTTTTGAACTAATATACTATTTTGTGTATTCTTTTTGCGAAATGCGCAGGGCTGCTCTATGCCGTGAACATGGTTTAATAACCCCAGAATATTTGATCATCATCAGTAATCTGTCAAGACGACAGGTCCACAGTCTCTTCCAAAACAATTCCTCCATTTAATGCGATCTAGAGCTTTCTCCTTCAAATGACAGTATCCTCTTCTGTCCCCAAGGTCATCCAGCATCTTCTTACGTCTTCTTCCTCGTCTTCTTGTCACTTCTATCCGCCCATCTATCTTTCCTTCGATAACTTCTTTTAGAAGGCAGTTTCTGCGTAAAACATGACCAATCCAATTAGCCTTCCGTTTTCTTATTTCATGTAGGATATTCCTCTGCTCACTGACTCTAATTAACACTTCTTCATTTCTCACATAATCGGTCCAACTGATCTTCTCCATCCTTCTCCAACACCACATTTCAAAACTTTCCAGATGTTTCTGATCTACTGCCCTAAGTGTCCATGTTTCAGCCCCATACAGAGCTATGCTCCAAATGTAGCATTTCGTTAGTTTCTTCCTCAAATTTAAGTCCAATTTGCTGGTAAAAAGATTCTTCTTCTCGCAAAATGCAGCTTTTGCCATGGCAATCCTGGATTTAATTTCACTAGTACACCTTCCATCATCTGTTAAAAAGCTACTCAAATATTTAAAACAAATATTTGATAAAGAACATAAATTACAAGGATATCATTACCCAACTTTCTCCGTTCTGTTTCTTTTTTTCCTTGGTACTACAGCCCCAGTGGGCCTAGGCCTACCTCCATGAACATCCGTTCACTTCGGTTTTTCCAGATCTTAGACATAGGGTAGGACTCCTTGGGCGGGTGATCAGCTCGTCGCAAGGCATCTACTTGTACACAAACACAGGAAAACGCACTCAAACATCCATGCCCTGAGTGGGATTCGAACCCACGATCCCGGCTTCCGAGCGAGCGAAGACAGTGCACCCCTTAGACCGCTCGGCTACCGTGACCGGTTTCTCTGTTCTGTTAGCCACTGTTAAATAAGTGACAGTTATGTCAAAGTAGTAAAATATATTTAGAACACCCCCGAAAGATACTGCCGTAAGATAATGCAATAAGACGCCCAATTATGCAAGAAGTTTTCGCTTTTTAACATATACAGAGTGTCTATGGCAGTACAACCCTCTGTTGGACCTTGGCCGCTTTTTCAGTTTCTTAACTCTATACATAGCGGACAGGACTCTTTTGACGGAGGATCAGCCTGTGGCAAGGTCGCTACCTACACAAAGAACGACATAAACACAGAATTAACATAGAGACTCCCTTATCTTGAGTGTGTTTCGAACCCACGAACCCAGCCTGCAAGCGAGCAATCTCAGTTCATACCTTAGACCGCGCAGGCAGTGTGCTATAATCCGGGAGGTCGCACGTTCGATTCCCAAAGAGGTCACTTGATTTNGGATTTTTTAGTTGACCTAATCCCTCCAGCCCACTATGGCCCTGGGATCGACTGAGCCGCTAACAGAAATGTGTACCATGAATTTTCCTGGGGAGAAAGGGCGGCCGGTGCGTAAGGCTGACAACCTCACCGCCATCTGTGAGCCGATTCTCTAGAAAATGTGGGGTTTCAACCTCTCACAACCCTATGGGCCTCCATGGTCTGTTACAGGGATAGATTTACCTCTTTTCTATAGGAAATACAAATTTGCGGAATTTGTTGTAAATTAAAAATAATTATGTAACATACGCATTTCATTAAAACAGAAATCCTGTCTATTCACTGTACAGATTTTGTCATCTCAGGTTACTGTGCCAAGGGTGTTATGTCTATTATGTCTATAGACGAATTTGCCATCTGGTATTTAGGCCATGATCACATTAAATGACTATTAAATTTACTTGAAGAGATATGACTAACTAAGCGCGAAGACCGCCTATGGAGAAAGTCATTATTGTTGAGTCGTCCTTCTTCTCTACCTGCATATGTCCGCGTTTTTCAACTACATGCTCGTCTTCATAAATGGTGGTTTTCGTGTTTGATAATGGGTGGAGCGCATCGGTGAAACTACGGTCTCAGTGGAAAGACATGATTTGTTCAGTTGCCCTGACGTCTGAGTATGAAGAGTGGTGACATCTTTGAGAGGATATTGGAAGTGAGGACGATACTTGATCTCTATGCTATAACAATATATCAGGGGGAAAACTTGGCCTGATTCTAATTGTTATTATTTAAATCTAAAGAGTGATATAGTGAACTATAAGAAGTTCAAGACTATTTATCTTCTGGTACTCAACGCCTTGTAAGCCGGTAGATTTGCATCATGCCGCGTTGCAAGGGAAAAGATAGTGTTCTTCGTAGTCATTGTTATCTCTGTTTCCTCTCGCTCCAACCTTGGAGGATAGGGCTGATTTCTCAGTTTCATGACTATTTTTACAGATGGTAGGGTTCCTTGGACGGGTGATCAGCCCGTCACAAAGCCTCTACCTAAACACCGGAAAACACAAACACATACAAACACCAAACATCCATACCTTGTGTGGGATTCGAACCCACGATCCCGGATTCCGAGTGAGCGAAGACAGTTCATGCCTTAGACCACTCGGCTACCGTGACCGGCAGTCATTGTCATAAGAAACTCAAATACACTACAATGAAAGTTAATGTAACACGTTTCCAAAGTCTGTGACTAAGTACTCGTAGTTTTGAGTCTCACTGAAAGTCTATCCCGGCTGAAGTGTGAGGCGGGCTTAATTCCGTCAGCAATGTGAGTTTAAGAATAGCAATTATAACATAATATGCATTGACACAGGGTTGTAGGCATATTTAGACCTCCAGCTAATTTTGCATGACCTTGTGCTCTTCACGTTTCTGTGTAGAGGTCCAAATTAGATGGCATCATTCAAATTGCAGGACGTCTCACAGCCGTCAAAATAGGCCACTGGGTTAATTACTTCGGAATAAAATGTCATCAATATTTTAGAGAAAGGCCGTGTATTTAATTTGAGTTAATTCACTGTCAACCCATTTTTTAGAGAAGTTATGAAAGAGATTTATTCCGCTGAGAATAAGAAGTCACAAAATAATTTGCAGCTAGTACTTCTTGATTTTACTGCACACCTCAAGGTAATTTATGTTACACAGATCAAATTTTCAAATTCATCATTCGTAATTATCCTATCATTTGATTTTGCATATCCTCGTTGCTGATGAAGCGTCGTTCAACAAAGTAATGGACTACTAAAGCACCCTCTTTTTTTTCGAGCAAATATATGTACACACGTATATTCCTTGCATTTACAAGACATGACCACTTCATGACTATAACGATTTTTAAGCGTTTTGCATGTGGTACAACACCGGTAGTTCATACGATTTGGCATTTGGCTATCTGAGAGATACAACTAA